GTCGTATAGAAGCAATCACACCACTTAAAACACAATTAGGTGAAATATATGATGCTCTAGCAGAATTAAAAGATGCTTATGCAATTTCCTAGTGGAATTCCAATAAAGAGAACTTTGTGCAAATTCAACTGGGATAAAAAAATCAATACCTTTAAATTTAAATAAATATTTCAACGAATAATCTGGCATGCAATTACTTAATAAAAAGATCAACGATAGTGAGTAAACTTTTACAAATGTCTCAAAATTAAACATTAAATCTTCAGCCTTAGAAGCCCTATGAAAATTTAAAAGACCCTACATTTTGTTTGAAATAAGATGTGTTACGAACATTTCAAAATATTTATGGATGGCCTTTGGCAAAACAAAACTCTGCTGCCGAAAGTTGGAAAACTAGGGAAGCAAAGTCAAAATTTTTACTTCAACATCCAAGCAAGCAAAACGCATTGGAAGAAGAAAAAGAAATTTTGATTACGAACACGAGAATGAAAGCATTTTAGATCCAGAGAGTTCTTTTAAAGTCAACTTTTACTTTAAAATTTTGGATGCAACAATTGGGGCTATAAATGAGAGATTTCAATTATTATACCAACATATTAACATCTTTAAAATTTTATATAATATACCCGAATATGGCGACCTTAAAGACAATGAACTGTGTCGAAGCGGAACAGACCACTGTGCCGAAGCGGAACAGACCACTGTGCCGAAGCGGAACTAGCCTTGACAGACAAGAAGCTAAATCATAGCGACATTAACGGGGCGGAATTATTCGAAGAAATTAAAGCTATGCAACCCCATCTTAAAACTAATATGAATACAATTGGAATTCTTGAATACATACTAGAAAATAATTTATCGTCATTTTTTCCCAATTTAACCGTACTAATTAGAATTTTCTTGATCTTACCGGTCACTGTTGCAACTGGAGAACGTTCATTCTCCAAGCTCAAGTTGATAAAAAAACTATCTTAGATCATCCATGAGTCAGGAAAGATTATCGGCTTTGGCAACTCTTTCTATTGAACACGAATTGTGCGATACCATAGACCTTAATAGTGTGTTAAAAAAATTTTCGGAAACAAAATCTCGGAGAGTGCAATTTTAACTTTTATCCTAAAAACAATTTGAGAAGTGTTTTAAAGCTCCCAGGTTCTTTTTTTCACCATTATAAGGTAAGTTTTTTTTAAAAACCCGTTTGATTTAGTTCCCACAATTTTACTAATTTTTCTTTATATTTTTAAAACGATTTCGTTAAAAATTATCTCTATTTTATATTAAGACATTGAGTTTTGAAGTTTTATAATTGAAAACAAATATTTTTAAGACAAATTTGCTGAAAAATTATTCTTTGGAAAACCGTAGAAATTTACATAAATTGTATTCCATTCCAACGATCTTCATTTTGTACTCTAGAGGAGGGGGGGGCGGGGCGGCGAAAATTATGTGGGCACACAGGCGGCCATCACCCTAGCGGCGGCCCTGGAAACTTCAAGCTCAGGATGTATTCTGGGTGATTTTCGGTTTCTATGTTGAAAATTTTGATGCTGATGATGATTGTATTCTACCATTTTTAGAAAAGTAAATATTAAAAAACGTACTGGAAATTATTAATATTGTGCACGTTTTACAAAAAAACAAAAAAATTTAATTATTTCATTATAGCTTTACAAATGATATCAGATTTATTTCCTCTTATTTTAGGTAAAGTAACACTCGAAATAAAACAAAAATGTATTTTATTTATTATTTTAAATCTTTACTTTGCTTTCCGCATGGCATTCAAATATTCTTTCGATTTTTGATTTTGAATTTTTTTTATATTTGCTGAATCACTAGAAACTTTTCAGGTAATCACATATTTTGGAGGCCTGAAATCGGCAACTTTTGGCGCATAATTAATTTTGAAACCTTTCTTTATTACTCTTGTGGTCTAAGTTTCGAATCCCAATGACGACCATTTGAGATTTTCATTTTTACCATTTCCAAATGTCTAACAATGTATACCTATTTTGGCTACAAATTAGTCAAGTGGATAAGTTTACTACTGGCATCATACTCGTATTTTCTATGTCATTATCTTCATCAGAGGTATTTTTATTACAGTTTAGTAAATATGAGTGAAACTATTATACAAATGGTCAGCAAAAATGTTCTGTTATTCTAGGTTAAATATATATATATCAATATTATTAACACCTGAAATCCTATATTGCTGATTTCAGCATCGTAGCTGTCTATCGGCGAGGCCTAAGGTCATTGATTTATCTTCCGTAATCTGAAAGTTCTTTCTTATCAGTGTAGCAAAAAGAGTTATTTAAAAAAATACTCGTATGTATTTAAAAATAACCCTTTTATGTTAATGTTTATATCATTCGTACACTCTAACTTGTATAACGTTAGTGCTCCTCACAACTTGTATAAATAAAATGTATAGCTAGCGTCATAGAAATTCTGACTCAATTTCCTGTGTACATTAACATTTGAATCAAGAAGTAAAATTTACTGATAATAATAGTATTATGTAATAAACTGTATAATATGCTTTGATTAGCAAATACTTTCCGATTTACAGCTTTTTATATTCGAAAAAGAAATATAAAAAGAAGAAGTGGAAGTTTAAAATCAATAATACATTTTAAGTTGAGAGTAGTGTTATCAAATGATTACAGCATGTAACTTTTTTAATTTAAAAAGAGAAAGAAACAAACTAGTTCATGATTTCCTCCGGTCTATATTTGAAAGATCTATATCCTCCGGTCTATATTCCACTTGTAGAATTAGAAATTTTTATAATCCTTGATTAGTTTGTTATAGTTATCCACAAACAAACATTGTCTATGTAATAGCGTCCGTTTTATGTATCATGCACATGTGAGAGTAAAAGATTTCATTTTAATAATAAAAAGGAAATGCTGTGATTGACTTACATGATTCTAAGTATAAACAAGTTTAGATCAGCTTTCAATTGCTAAGCTGGTATCTGATTACAAGTCATCGGATTATTGGAAAGATTGCAAGTTTATTTATATACTTATTTTTTACAAATTTATGAAAACTTCAATGTGTTATTAAACAAGATCCAACAAAGCAAAGAAGTTACATCGCTTTTAGTTGTTAGGCTGGAATCTAACAGCAAGTCAGGTCTGTAATTACTGTAAATAAGCAATTAACTAACTAGTCAACATAGTAAAGTTATAGAGCATGTTCTCTTTCTTTACGGCGTGCCTTAGTCGTGTAATTGGAAACACGTCCCGTTAGTAATCAGGAGGTCCAGAGTTCGGGGATATTATACATTTTTCAAGTATCCTTCCCCAAAATAAAATAGCTAATGGTGCCCACAACGCGTGCAATAAATATTCTTCACCAATAACTAAGTCCAAAAGGAGCATACTTTCAACCTTTCACTCCTTGCAACACATTAAATCTAATCTTTAAAACATAACCAGTCAACAACCAACAGCATTGAAGCTTATCCAAAACCAAATTTACTGTAAAGTCATTAAATATAATTAATTTCAATCATTATTTAATGAATGAAAGTAATTATATTTAATGACTTTACGGTAAATTAAGCATACTCCCATCTGCATCAACTCTAAAACGCCTCTAGAGCGAGAAAACTTACATTTCCCTCCGTTTATTTAGAAAAAAGGTAATGTCAATTTTTATATAAAGTATTTACATAATTATCACGGAAAATAACGGCAATAATTATGGACGCAAGAATATGCAAAATACAACTTTTAATAAAAATAATTAAACTGATATAAATCTTAGAAATTTTTGTGTATATTTAGAAATATTTTATCGTTTATACTGACATAAAAAGTATCGTATAATTTCAGCAAAACGTATGTCAGTATATAGAGTAGAGCATATGTCAGTATATAATATAAATCACAGTCATTGACTGGTATCTGAAAAGAATGCTTATCAAAAAAAATGTTTTAAAAAAACAAGTAAATTAAAGTAATACTATTTTTAATATTAAATTTTCGAATATCATTTAACATCTTTTTTTAAACTAAATTACAAATAAAAAATTCAAAGAAACAATTAAATCTTAAAAATTAAGTAAAACTACACTGAAATTTCTCATAAAGACCACCTCTCTAAGACCATGATATCTATAAGTCACCAGTAGTTTTAATAACGATATTCAAAATTACTTATTTGAGTCGATCGTTTCCACACAAAACCACCTGGAGCCTGGGTTATAGTCTAACAATTTTCATTGCATTTTAATGCGATTCGTTTTTTTGTAGCTCAGTGTATATTGATAAATTTAACTTAATAGTGAGTTTCATATTAATATGCAAATTAATACTAAAATAGAAATCAAATATTTATTAGCTACATGTTAATATATTTTTAAGTTAGTTTCAAATATAAGGTAGTATATAGACAAAACTTCTTAGAAGACTGAAAATTATTTGATGCAAATATTCGCGAATGGCGAATAGTTGATAAGATTAGCCGTAATGATCTTGTTAGTTAAAAGCAATTCATATTTCTAAATAATTTTGTTTCTAATCTGAATATCGACTAGAGAAAATAGTTCCTTGATATTCTTTTATCCTTTTAATTGTTATTGAGAATGTGTATGTCTTTGTTCTATGAGTAGTTTTGACAGCATAATTTGCCCAACAGTGTCCAAGATTTGAACCAGACTCTCAAAGAATACCTCATTGTCTCATACCCACCGATGAATGTCCATTAATTATAAAATCGCATCAACATTTGAAAGCAATAATTACAAATGTGGTCCTTTCTTGAAAATTATTGCTTAACTTTAAGGAAATTTGAGAACATAAGATGAGTATGAGCGGTAGAGCAAAATCAGCTGTCCTCTTTCATTGCTAATGATGGTTCGAGGGGGGAACTAAGGACTAAGACTCCTAGCTTTTTATATGAAAAGAGCATTTTATAGGTTTTACATTCATCGGTCTGATTTTCAAATTAAGCATGAAAATTATTGTTGAATGTCATGTACTTACGTTTCTTGAGGTGATATAAGATTCATCCAGTATCACATGATGTCCTTCCCACCGTCTCAAGAATCGAGAACTGAGCAATTTACTGATCATTGTCCTCGTATGGTTCAAGCGACACACGTGAACTAGTCCTTCATGCACCAGCTTAAACCTAGGACCTTGAGGACTGCTCGGCACAGGTGACTTAGACGGTGAGCAGCAGTTCGACCTCACACCTGAGCTAGTGGTTGGATCACTACCTGAAGAAGATGACGAGTCCATAGATAAATTTCTTTTAGTAGAAACGTCCAAAAAATTCCTTGGATCTTCCAAACCTGAACTCAAACTCGTGTTCGAGTTCCGAAGGCTTGGAGATGGTACAAGGGGGGTAGATGGAATACTGTCTTCTGGACTACTTGTCACCATAGAAACATGCAACGCTACGGGGCTCCTGGCCCCTGAAATGTTTCTGCCTTCAGTCAAATGATCCATCAGATATTTGTACTTTTATAATATGTTAAATCTATACAGCATACACAGTTTCAGTGCATTGAAAGGAATTAGTCTAGCACACGGAAGAAGAACATTTAATCGTTTATGCATGTGGAGTGTTAAAAATTTGATATTACCTATTTCCCGTTAAATTTTCATCACAGTGTTCTATAGAATCATAATTGTCTGTCGAAACCTCCATGTTATGGTAAAAATAACACCTCCAATAGAAAGATTTCTACACATAACATGGTAAACAATCCACTATTTTTCAGACAGCATCGCAGAGAATGAACCGTAAAGAAGCTGTTATAAAAAGACTCTAACCCTATCATGCGTTACAATAATCATAAAAATATAATAACATGTCCGATAAACTTCTCATAATTTCCATATTTATGATTCAAAATACTGTACTAAAATTATTACACTTAATTTCATTAAGTGTTTCAAAACAGATATCAAATAGAAATGAAAGCCTTGACCTCCAGAAATCTCATCTTAAATTTTGAAAAGTCCTCAGAGGGTAAAAGGGCTTCCATTCAATTATATATTCCTATATCACAAGTTGCAGATATGGAAGAAACATTTTCGCTAATGCAATATAAAAAACAAAACGATAATTTAACAATTATTAACCGAAACGCAAATATCTAAGTGACTTCTTGATGTGTCACAACATAGAATAAACTGAGTAACATATTTCGAGCTCTTTCAATGTTAACATAGCATCATTTTCATGTATTTTTATACCTGTGTGAACACTGATGTCTGAATTAGACCTGGCGACAACATCAGCATATCTTCGCAAATAACTGCATATAGGTTTTCGAGGTATTCAAGGTATACAAGGTTATCACATATGCAGAAACACATGAATCACAGCGCATCGAATCAAAGCCCGGAAGTACCTCAGGCATCTAGAAACTCCACAGCATTCGCATTTGACAGCTCTAGGCGACGGATAACTCGTGGCTTATTTCCGGGCAAGTACACTCATCCACGCTCACAGATATTTAAACGCGAGTAAGCAGGAACTACTCTAAGAGCAAAGTGAATAGATTACGATTAGTCCTTAGCTAGTAGACATCTCAGAATGAGAAATTATGAAGATAGAGAATTCTACGATCAGCTGAGCAAGATGGAACCTACGGAAGGGTTGCCACACGACAGGGAGAGAAATCTTCGCCGCCGCACTGGATCCCGAAATGATGCCAAGGAAGAAAGCGAAAAGCGCCAATTTTTCGAGATTGAATTCCGTTTGCGTCGAGTAATTCGCAATGCACTGAAATAAGAATTATAAGAGTACATATGTTTTTCTTTAAAAAATTATTTTATTTTATTTATTTCCTATCCAGAGCCATCATAGTAAAAATATTAAAAGAACGCTAAATAATTTATAAGAACATTTTTAAATGTCTTCAAATCAATATCGTACACACAGCTTGCATCATTGAATTTTTTTGGAGCGGTGTTAAAAAAGAGAAATACTAGTTTTTATTTTAATACAAGAAACTTTTTTCAAGGAATTAAATCTAGCTTTTAAATGAAAAATAAATAACCTAATAATGTCAAGTTTTGAAAACTTATATTGCTGATTATATTTTATAACATTAAACTCTTGGTCAATGGTCTAATTTAAATTGAATTTATGCCTTAAATAGATAAATTTAGGACTAAATTTTTATTTTTCTTATTCGAAATTTTTTCTTGTTGAATTTTCTTATTTAACTGATAAAATTATTTTGCATATCTTGTGGTTTTCGAAATTTTAATATTTTAAAATTTCTTATAATCAAATAAGGCAGCCTAAAACAGGATTTTGAATTTATGTTATCATCAACAAACAAAATTTCAAAGTATTTTATCAATTTCATTCTTAGTTATATGAACCTAAAGAGTTTACAACAATGGAAAACACGAAACTAAGAGACGTGGGTTTCAAAACTAGCTATTTAAATACAGAATCCTATTTATGGTACCAAGATTAATTTTAAGAAATAAATTTTAGAGACGGTATAATTTTTAAATTTTCAAATTCAAATTAGAATATGAATCCTTCGTATAAAAAATTTCCCAAACTTTCCAGTCCTTCGTATAAAAAAACAGTAAGAGAAAAACTTTTCATTAATACTAAAATTTATCAATTAAGGTAAAATTTAAAATTTGCATGTAGTGAAAAATTTAAGAAGAATTAAGTTTAAGAAAACTACAGGAGTAATCTAAAAGAAAAAAACTATCTTTACCATTTTCTAATCTTCCGAAACTTTTACTGCAGGAGTCACTTTTGAAGCAACAAGGTAAGGTTAAACGTTAAAATAGGGAAATCGTAATGACAACGATTCGGTATAGTATAAGTATGTGCACTTCAGGATTTCTTTCCATTTGAAACATGGTATGGTGATGATGCAAAGTCAAATAAAAGAAAGAAATCGGTATAATGCGCAAGCGATTGCATAAATAATGAGGCTAGGCCCAAAGCATTAAAAGCACTGTTCTAAAGAGCTGCGTATATTTTTACAAGTGCAGAAAATGGGGTTCAAATTATTAATTTATATAGTAGGACTGCTAATAATATATTACTGAAAGTTGAAATATTTTGTCAAAATTAACCATCTGTGCATTAAATATATGAAAACCATTTAATTATCGCAATACTTTTTTCATTAAAGAAAAAATTCAAAAGTAGAAAATTTTAACATAGACAATGTTATTTTAAAAGCTAAATATAATATTCTCACTGAAGCAGAAGCCGTCATGCAGAAAATTTAATGCGCTGCTGTATTTGCGCTGTTCTGCTGTATTTGCATGAAACTTTTAACATGTCATTTAATCAAAAGTAATATGGGCTGTACTGTGTTCTTAAATCTGTATTTTGTATATTAAAAATACAGCACAAAGTAAACAAAGAGGATTTCTGTGTGCAAAATGTGTAATTTGTTTGTAATGCGCAGCTGAATGAATCGCATTTGAAACATGTATCTCCAATCTTATGGTCTTACGATCATTGCCAGCAATGATTAGTCACGTCTGGAAATGTTCAGTTGCAACATAGATGATTGCAAATGCGGATGTTGCAAATGTAACTTACTGTTGCATGTTTAAGGCTTTCTTTGCTAATGGTTCATGATAGGGTCCATGATTCTTACTAGAAATGAAAAAAAAAAATTAAGCTTCAGTTTTAATCATCGTTCAATAATACAGTAATACACACTGCATTAATTTCAAACCAATATCCATACTTCTAAGCCAGAAGGGCTATTTGTCTCGAAACCGCATTTTGCGTCTGTTCACTGTAAATGTCCGTTTTACTTTTTATAGTGTGGCTGTCAATATTATCGCCAAGTATTTTATTTAAAGAAATTAAATAATGAAGAATCTTCATAAATGTATATAGTTCGGCCATAGTAAAAAAAAGAAAAGGCACCTGGTGCCAGCAAATGTTGAATAATTTAGTCCTCCACCCGAAAATGGGCACTTGAAAGCTCGAATATGGAATTTGTTTTATTGTCTATTTCATATTTGTAAAACTTCAACGAATTTTTGGTAAACAAACTCAACGATTTCAGAGCGAGCAAAAGCAACATTTTACAAGGGGGGGGACATTTTTATCTCCAGCGCACGTGACTCCAGCAACCAACATGTTCCGATAGACATCGGAAATTCTGAAGACATGCTGGTTTAAAATATTTTTAGCCTAAAGGACATTAGCCTAAATGCTCTCGAAACGTGTATGTGTGTGTAAATGAAAAAAAAACTACCCTTTGGGCTTAATATAAAATCTGAAAGCTTTCAATTTTTTATTATTTTTATTTATTTGTTTATTTTGCAGTTTTGACTTCGGTTCGGTGAAATTCACTCATAAAGCTTCTTCATTTGATGAACTGGATTTTCTTGAAGCTATTTGCTTCACAAAATTTACAGCCTGTAGTTATTGACATTAATTCTAATACATTTCATCGCTTCCCTTTCAAAATTTTAAAAGATTAGCTTTTTCACTTTTCATTATCGTTTCCTTCGACATACGATCCTTCTTCAGAGGATTGATAAACACGTTAGCTAAACTTTAAATTGAATAAACTTGACGTTAGTTTTAATAAAACACAACTTTTTACTACCCATTATTGTTCATTAGCTGGCTTTACAATTTAACAACGAAAAGGTAGTATTATTGTTGTAACAATATACAACATTCTCCTGCAGCAGCATCCTGTAAAATATAAACCTGCTGCCATGCTAAGTAAAACAAATTATTTACCTTGTCTTATAACTAATTAGGCGTTTTTACAGTCGAATTCATATTCTAAAATCGAATATGGAAAAATAAGCTACAGGACGATTTGAATTTCATACTTAACTAAGTAACTATGTGTAAATGTATCTCATTAAAAAACTAAATCAATTTGTCTTAGTTTGTATATTTTATGCTGCAATGACTTTTCTCTGACCGTTTCTCTAACATTCTTCTGACTCCTAACGTTTCCTCTGAAAAGAGTGACTGCAAGACTACTTGAATTTCCACTACTGGAATTAAGGATCTCTAAATTATGTCAGTAAGATGAAATTAAACTACTAAAAATCGAATTTTCAAGTTTGATTTTTAAAAAATAATGTAAATTGTTGTTTCCAAAAATATATTAGCCATACCATAACACTAAGTAACCATAACACTAGGTAAAGTATCCAGCGTTATCCAGATACTGGATACCATAAGACTACGTAAAGTATCCAGCGTTATCCAGGCATTAAGCAGAGTGAATAGGTTTCATTTAGAGGAATGGCGGTTTTTTTTTTTAATATATATATATATCCCGTTTTCGAAATACCCGCGAAAATTGATAGAGAGCGGACTTAAATTCTGCTTTTAAGGTTCTACATTGTTCTAAAGGGATAACTAACAAGGCGCCATCTAACAGTTTTAATAATAACTGATACTTGCTTTATCATCGGTTATGTCTTTTCTCTGAAATGAGTTTTCCGAAAATCCCTATCTACTCTGACCGCTTTCTTTACTGTTTTCGAAATATTCGCGGAAAACTGATAAAGGCGAACTTAAATTCTGCTTTAAAGTTCTATACTGTTTTCGAAAGTTCTACACTGTTCCAACAAGTAAACGAACATGGTGTGATGGTTATATTAATAACTGATAGCGGCAACGCAGAAACGGCGATGTGAATCTAAGATGGGTGACGCGATTTCAAAATTGAAAATTCGTAGAAATATTAATATTTGTTTTTGGTAATATATATGTGTGTGTGCGTGTGTTAAGCCTAGTAACCGACCGCTCACTTCAAAGTCCCCTAGCCTCACGCGTCGTTGGATGTGATAACCTTTAAGTTTAGCACCGTGAAAGTAGCATTCTAATCTACAGTACCCACCGCCTTTTGAACTTACTGAAATAAATAACCTCAGTCATTTATTACGTTTATATTTCCAGAAACTAAAAGAAATATATACTAATCAATTAAAAAACCGTTTATTACACTCATCTTCTCTGTTTATAAAACTCAAACTGACAAATTTTCAAATCCAGAATAAATTGTTTGTGTATAAAAGCTGTTTATAGTTCATTCATTTATCTTCCAGTTACGTATTGCTTCACTAAAACATGTTTAGCAGAAATTTTGACCAAGACTCTTAGAGGCGTTGGGTACCTTTACCTTGGGATTAAAAAAACAGTCCTTTTCTAGAGGAACTGAAAACAAATTAATGACTGAGTGTTTCCGAGGATGACAGAAAAGGTGGTGCTTAAGTTGACTCTGATTCCTTTCCTCAAACACCAGCTGATAAGAGATGGAACACACACATTAAGTTTGCAGCGTTTTCTTAGAATATATCACGAAGTACTTTTCTGCATTATCGTACATTATCGATTTTTGATTGGAATAGGAGAGTGGTGGTTGTAGTTTGAAGAAAATGGAAGCATTGATTACGCCTATAAAAACCATGAAGTGGCAGGCAAAGTGCAATATTCCCGTTGGCTAGAAATGAAAATTTTGGATTTGTACAAATCGCTGGAAGAAACGTTTTTTATTTGCTGTGAGAGTTACATGTTAAGACGTTAAAAATGCCCAAACGAAATAATTTAAGTCTGAAAGAAAAGAATAAAATGCTGGAAGATTATGATACGTTTGGTAAATT